TGACAGAGAAAGACCCTCATGAAAGAAAGAAAGAAGGAAGGAAGGAAGGAAGGAAGGAAAGACCCCCCCCCAAAAAAAAAGAAAAGAAAGAAAGAAATGATGAAAAATAAAGCAATTCTGTAAACAAGTTTGGTGTGAATATATGAAGCAAAATGGTCAAGGAAGGTCTCTTTTGTGCCTAACTAATGATGATTTTACTAATACTTTCAAAAAAGAAAAGGTAAAAATCTAGTAAATGGATACATATGAATCACCTCTAGAGCAAATCGGGCAGCTAAACTTAGAAGCATAGTAGGTGACCTTCTATTTGTAAGTAGATCATTATCTTCTGACTCTTCATCTGTTAATAAATTATCTAATGTAGTGATTGCCTGCAAAGCTGAAAAACAAGGAAAAAAATTAAAAATGAAACACTCTCATCAAAGATAATACCTATCTATGGTTAATTATACCATAAAAAATTTGGAACTCACTTTAAGAGCATTAATATCTTTAAAGTATTAGTTAACATTTATAAAGTAATATGAGTTGCTAAACTGTAAAAGAGGATTTGAACACCAGAAAAATGCCCAAATGAACAATTACACTTCTGTGAATTTATCTTATTAATATCTTTGCAAAAGTAGACAAATACAAACAAGGATGTTTATCCAGTATTGTTGGTAAGAGTAAAATATGGAATCAACCTAAATTCCATCAATAAATGGGATAAAAACATTTTTGGTATTCCCATAAAATAAAATATAATACAGAATGAAGCTACAAATTGGGTGGCTATATTATATTCCCTTATATGTCTTAAAAGTGGACTATGACAAGTTAAATATGTCTACTATAGACTTTAACAAATAAATAAAAGATAAATAAGAAGATGCTAAATTTAAATCTAATATATCAATAATTATGTTAAATATAAATGACTAAACGAACCAGTTAAAGGCAAAACACAAAACACAATACAAAACACAACACAACTTTCAAATATATGCTACCTACAAGAAGCACACTTTAAATATAAAGACAAACTTGATTAAAAGAAGATGGGATGATATATCTATGATAAAAGTAATCAAAAGAAAGTTGGAGTGGATATATTAATACCAGACAAAGTGAATTTCAGAGTAAAGAATATTATCAGTGATATAAGGTTATTTCAAACGGATAAAGAAATCAATTCATCATGAGGACATAATCCTAAATGTCTATGTACCTAATAACAAAATTTTAAAATGTGAGAATCAAAAACTGGAAAAGCTGCAAGGAGAAACGAACAAATCCACAATCACAGTCAATGATTTCAGTATCTTTTCTCAAAAACTGATAGAACAAGTAGACAGAAAATCAGCAAGGACATAGTATACTTAACACTATTGAGCAGCTTGACATTTGTAAAACACTTAGTCCAGTCCCAGCAAAATATACATTCTTCTCAAGTACACATGAACTATTTACCAAGAGACAATATTTTGGGCCAAATATATTAAGAACAAGTCTTAATATATTTAAAAATTCAAGACATACAAAGTATGATCTTTGACTACAATGAAGTGAAATTAAAAAACAAAAGAATGTTCTCTGGAAAATCTGCAAATATATAGAAAATAAATAACAAATGTCTAAATAATCTGATTTTAAAATGGAATCAAAAATCAAATGGGAAAGTATTTTTTAACTAAATTAAAATGAAAATACAGCATATCAAAATTTGTAGAGTGTCACTAAAGCAGTAATTAAAAAGTAATTTATAGCATCAACTAGCCATATTAAACCAGAATAAAGGTACTAAATCAATGACCTCAGCTTTCACCTTTGGAAACTAGAAAAAGAAGAGCAAATAAAACCCAAAGAAAGCAGAATAATGCATATGATAAAAATCAGAATGTAAATAAAAGAAATAGAAATCAGAAAAAGCAATAGAGAAAAATTAATAAAACCCAAAACTGGGTTTGTGAGAAGATCAATAAAAGTTATCAACCTCTACCTACATTGACTAGGGATAAAAAGAGAGAGGATACAAATTACAAATATCAGGAATAAGAAAGGTGACACCACTATCAGTTTTACAGATGTTAAAAGGATAATATGGAGACTATTGTGAACAACTTTAAGCCAATAATTTCAACAACTTACATAAAAGAATTTTTTTTTGAAGTTCACAAACTACCAAAGCTAAATCTAGAAATAATAGATAACCTGAAAATTAGTATAACCATTATGGAAAACAGTATGGAAGTTCTTCAAAGAATTAAGAATAGAATTACCATATGATCCAGAAATCGTACTGCTGGGTAGATAGTCAAAGGAAAAGAAATCAGTATGTCAAAGAGATATCGGCATTCCCATATTCACTGCAGTATTATCCACAATAGCCAACATATGGAATCAACCTAACTGTCCATCAACGGATAAATGGATTTTTAAAATGTGGTGTATATTTAGCCTCAAAAAAGAAGGAAATTCTGTCATTTGGAAAAGAAAAAGATGAACCTGGAGGACATTATGTTAAGTGAAATAAGCAGGCACAGAAAGGCAAATACTGCATGATCTCAATTATATGTGAAATATAAAAGAGTTGAACTCATAGAAGCAGAGGAAAATGGTGGTTAACTAGGGACTAAGAAGATGGAGTTGGAGAGATGTTGGTCAAAGGATACAAAATTTCAGTTGGATAGGAGGAATACGTGTTAAAAATAGTTGTTTAATTGGATTAGTATAATTTCTATTTGGATCCATTAATTCAAGTTTCCAACTTCCATTACACAAATGGCAGTCAATCTGGAGATAAGACTGCTTCAGGATTTGCTCAGATACCCTGAGGGCTGAAAGAGTTAATATCTGGACAAAGCATTTTTGCATAACCAATTCAAGATACATATGCCTATGCAGACACACCACTAGGAAACTATGCTTAACTTAATGGAAAGGACACAGTGCTAATGGGATGAGAGTCATGTGTGCAGTTCCAACACTGTCCACTTTGTGGAGAGAAACTCCATTTCAAGGCCAAATTTCTTACCAATCGCCTCCCAAATAAGTGAAAACAGTCAAAATGTATCCTGACTTCCATTCTCTGAAGACACTTTAACTGATATTGGGTTTTAGTACAATCTCACCCACACACAGCTTTTTAAACTTAATTTTTGAATAAAATGATTCAAATGACAGAAAACACAAAAAAGTACACAGTGACAAGACTTTCCCACAATTCTTATCCCATAACTGTCCAGCTCCTATTTCTTCAATAGGTAACTACAGTTCTTTTGCTTTTATATAACCTGCCACAGTTTCCTTTTGCATTGTTACATAGAAAAGATAAAACATACATTCAATTACATTGTCCTAAAAATAACTTTTTTTTTCTATTGTGGTTAAAGTGGATTTTTTTATTTTTTGTTTTAACAGTAAAATATAACTCATTAATAACATTTATACCTCTGTCAGAGTTGCCCTCTATGATTGCAATCTTGAATATATAAAAATGAGTGAAAACGTTTGTAGGATCCTGTCTTTCAGCTTTTGTCACTGCCTCTTTGGCCTGAAAAGAAAAACATTGGTTCTTTTAAATAAAATCTATAAGGAAGTGCTTACCATATTTTATTAATATCATTAAGGTAGTCAAAATGGCAGAAGGATATTCATAATGAAAATACAAGAAACTAAGAGAAATCTTTACAGAACTGCACTCCTAGAATGCTAAAGAAACAGTGAGTTCTGCTTGTGGAAATAGGGTGAGTTGGATATGTCAGACCAAACTTCCTGCTGAAAACAACCAAAAATTTTGGAAAATACGTTAAAGTTTTTTTTCAGAAAAGAATAAAAGAACAACTGATAAGATAATAAAAGACTTACCAAATCAAACTCTAAGGAAAAGTGAGGTCCCAAAGCCACTTTTATCCATTAAGCATTTCCAAATCTAGGCAAATGTTAACTTTAGTTTTGAGGGACCGCATTAGGTTAGTAAAACAGACATCAAGTTCCACGGGATCACAGTCTTAAACTAAAGGCAAGCAAGGAGCAAATCCACTCCCACTCATATCCCTAGGGGAGTACAAATAAAGTTTCCTTGGTGCTGAACAGAAGGCGGAATGAGGTGGAAAGAAACAATCCCTAAGGTGTATCATGAGAAGACTTATGTATTTACAGACCCAAACTATATTATACAGGACGCTAAAATACTGAAAGCTGAGAATTTAGTCTAGATAGCTCCCAAATGTGCAGAAACAAATGCAAATCCTTCTGGGGGAAGGCACATTCATCTTAAGCTTCAAAATATTTACATAAGTAATTTTTCAAAAATCATGAATTGTATACATTAAAAAATAACCAAGCACACTTGGAAACAAAATACTATAAATGATAATCAGCAGATACAAAAGATAGCAGGAGATCCTCAAGATGCAGATACTAGAATTATCAAAAACTGGTTTAAAAAAACACTGATACTTTCAGAGTTTAAATAAATGAAATATATACTCAAAAATATATGTATGTGGTTGATACTCACTCAATGGTGCATATTGATACAGTTATAGTGGTTGTTTCTAGACAGTATCCATTCTAATTCATTATTGCCTGTGTCAAACCAATTGTTAAATACTTTGCATATCAATGAAGTTCACAGGAAACAGACCTTAAAATGTGATCTTGAAGACTTGAAAAAAATAAACTTCTTAAAATGAAAAACATGATAACCCCTCAAAATATGATAATCAAAACATAGTGGACAGGTTTAATAGATTAGAAACAGGAGAAGACTAGTGAACTGAAAGATAAAACAGAGTAAATTAGTCAAAGTGCAACACAGAGTGATTATAAACATGAAAGACAGTTAAAAATGAATTTTATACTTTCTAGGATAGCCACTAAAAAATTAGAAGTGTTAAATCATTTTCACACTAGTAAAAGGGGGCTGCTAGAAGGTAAAAATATTAAGGATATTCTTTTCAATAAATGGTGCTGGAACAACTGGACAGCCACAAGAAAAAAGAATGGATCTAGACATACACCATAAATCTTTCTCAAAAATTTACTGAAGGAGGACTTATAACTTGAATGTAAAACCCCAAACTATAAAACTCTTAGAAGATAACTGGAGAAAATCTAGATGACCTTGGGTTTGGCAATGACTCTTTAGATACAATAACAAAAGCATATCCATGAACAAAATTGAAATTTTACTTCAAAATTAAAAACCTTTGGTTTGTTAAAGGTGCCATTAAGCAAACAGAAGGCAAGCCACGCATTGCAAAAAAAAAATTTGCAAAACATACATCTGATAAAGAACTGGTATGCAAGATACACAAATAATTCTTAAAACTCAACAATAAAAAACAAACAACCCAAATATAAAATGGGCAGAAGACCTGAAGAGACACATCACCAAATAAGACATACAGATGGTAAATAAGCATATAAAAAGATGCATAACATCATATATCACTGAGGTTTTGCAAATTACAACAACAATGAGATACCACTACACATCTATTAGAATGGCTAAATCCAAGATGCTGACAACATGTAATGCTGACAAGGATGCAGAGCAACAGGAACTTTCATTCATTGCTGGTGGGATGAAAAATAGTACAGCCACTTTGGAAGACAGTTTGGCAGTTTCTTACAAAACTAAATATACTTTTGTACTTTGCTGGACAATCTAGCAGTTGCACTCCTTGGCTTTTATCCTACTAAGTTGAAACCACTATGTTCTTTTGCCTACGCAAAAGCCTGAACACAGATGTTTATAGTAGCTTTTCTCATAACTGCTAAAATTTGGAAGCAACAAATATGCCCTTCAATAGGTGAATGGATAAACTGTAATGTATCCAGATAATGGAACATTATTCAATGATAAAAAGAAATGAATTATCAAGCCATGAAAATACATGAAGAAACATTAAATGCATATTGCTAAGCGAAAGAAACATCTGAAATGGCTACATACTGCATGATTCCAATTATGTGACACTCTGGAAAATGCAAAACTATGGTGACAGTAATAAGATCAGTAGTTGCTACTAGTTCAATGGGAGGAAGGGATGAATAGGCATGCCACAGTGCATTGAAACTATTCTGGTATTATAATATAATAAGACACACTTGTTTTTATATATTTGTCAAACCCCATAGAATGCACAACATAAAGACTGAACTCTAAACTGTGGACTTTAGCTAAAAATAATATATTATTACTGGCTCATCAATTGTGACAGATATAGCACACTAATGCAAGGTGTTGATAGGAGAAACTGAGTATGCAGAAGGTTGTGAGGGGGCATATGAAAATTCTCTGTAGTCTCACTCAATATTTCTGATGAAATTGGGCATGTTCAGAGTGGTATGGCTGTAGATAATTTCTCCATAAGCCTAAAATTGCTCTAAAAAATTAAAGTCTATTATTTTAAAAATTGATCCCAAATAAGGCAAGAAAGAAGAGAAAAAGAAACAGGATAGAAATGACAAGTAGAAAGCATAGAGAAAGTTGTAGATTTAAACTCAAATATATCAGCATAATATTCGATATATGAAAACTAAATGCGACAGTTAAAAAAACAAAAATGGTCAGACTGGATTAAAAATTCTAACTATATGCTCTTTACAAGTGGCTTGTGTAAAACAAAGATACAGGAAGATTCAAAGTAAAGGGATTAAAGATTTATCTGGAAAACATTAATCAAAATAATATCAGACAAGTGACTTTAAAGCAAAAGGTAATAATAAAGATCATGTTATACCAATACAACTTCAATAAACAGAACTATATTACTGTACTAATTTGGTATGTATAAATAGTATAGCTTTAAATATAAAAATGATAAAACTGCTTTTTATATTTAGATGAAGAAACTGACAAATTCACAATCATAATGAGACATTTCGGTACCTCATCTCAGTAACTGATAGAGTAATCAAACAAAATATGAGTTTTGATACAGATTATTCAGACAAAATGAACAACAAACAATCTAAATGTATACAAGTGTGTATACAGATGATCCTGGACTTAACGATAGTTTGATTTATGATTGTCTGACTTTACCATGGGCTTATAAGGATGTAACTCCTTTGTAAGTCCAGGAGTTCCTTACAACTTACAATGGGTTTATGGTTTCTACTGAATGTGTATCGCTTTTGCTTCATCACAGAGTTGAAAAATTGTTAAGTCAAACCATCATTAAGGGGACATTTACTGGGTTGCCTGCATTAACTGCACTTTTGACTTATGAGCTTTTTTACTTATGTTGAGTTTATTGGGACGTAACCCCATCATAAGTTAAGGAATATCTGTTTATAGACATGCTTACACAATGCCTATAAACTGCAGAAAACACATTTCTTTCAAGTACACACAGAATATTTACAAAAATTGGCCATATATCTAACCATTAAGCAAATCTCAACCTATTTCAAAGTCTGAAATCAATCACAATGTACTTGAGCTAGAAATAAATTACTAAGTTACTTAAATGATGCCAAGAAAATCTCCATGTGTTTCAAAATTCAGAAATATTATTTTTACATATAGATCAAAGAAAAAACTGTAAGAGAATTTGGAAAATATTATAAATTGTATAATAATAAGAATCCTGTATGTATTAGTGTTCTCCAGAGAAGCAGAACTAATAAGATATATACAGTCATGTATTGCTTAATAACAGGAATATGTTCTAAAAAATCCATCTTTAGGCAATATTGTCATTGTGTGAACACCACAGAGTATACTTATACAAACCTAAGTGGTATAACTTACTACACACTTAGGCTATAGAGTATAGCCTATTGTTGCTAGGTTACAAACCTGTACTTCATGTTACTATATTGACTGTTGTAGGCAATTGTAATATAACAGTAAGTATTTTTGTATCTAAACCTAGAAAAGATATAGTAAAAATATGATATAAAAGATTAAAAAATGGTACATTGTTAGAGGACACTTTACCATGAACGAAGATTGTAGGACTGGAAGTTGCTCTGGGTGAGTCCATGACTGAATTAGTGGTAAGTAAATATGAAGGACTAGGACATTACTGTACACTACTGTAGACTTTATAAACACTGTACACTTAGACTATACTTAATTTATAAAAAATATTTTCTTTCTTAAACAGATTAACCTTAGCTTATGGTAACTTTCTTACTTTGTATATTTTTAATTTTTAAAATTTTTTTGACTATTTTGTAATAACACTCATCTTAAAACACAAAAATTATACAGTTGTACAAAAATATTTGCTTTCATTTTACCCTTATTCTATAAGATTTTTTCTATTTTTAAGATTTTAAAAAATTTATAAACTTTGTTAAAAAAAACAAAGACACAAACACACACAATAGCTTAGGCCTACAAAGGGTCAGGATCATCAAGACATTGCTAGGTGATAGAAATTTTTCAGCTCCATTATAATCTTATGGGACCACCATCGTATATATGGTCCATTGTTAACTGAAATGTCATTATGTGGCATATGCCTGTATAAATATATGTTAGGGGAGAATTATTATGGGAATTGGCTCACACGATTATGGAGGCTGAGA